ATGGCGCGTTGGCTAACCGTGCAACCCCCAAGTGTGTGTATCAGTCAGTGGCGTAGCTAGGGGTGGCCAGGTGGGCGGCTGCCAGGGGGCAACACCCAGGGAGGCGCAATGTGGAGACCCACAGCCAGCGGGTCGTTGCGGCACAGGCACACAAAATGTATCATTAAATAATTTTAATTTTTTTTAATTTTTAAAAATATGTTCGAAAATAAAATATTTCTAATAACATTGAAACTATTAACATTTATAATTTGTGATTTAATTTAAATTAGGATAAAAAAGTCGGTGGTAACGAACATTTCAATAAAAAGTTTTTTACATCCGTGAGTTGTTGCCACAATTGTGACTATTTGTTATTACCGTTGCAATGGCAACACTGCGATCGAGCGAATTGACGGGCGGGCTAGTTGAACGGGCGGCGAACTCAAAATCTGGTGAGATATAAATTTAAAAAATGAGCGATCTCCTATTGTATTAATTCCCTTCCTACATAACCGTGAGAACTAATTGTATGCTTAAATGTACACGTAACTTAAATATAAATTAGACTTTCAACGTTATTGCTTTTCCTAGAAAATAAAGTCTTGGCGACGCAAAAATCCAAATCTTACCAGGGGCGCTACGGATCTTATGAAAGTGTAGAATACTTACAATTACTGGGTAAGACTTTTCGACGGGCGACTCTTTTCGAGTTTATTGTTGATCCTTGTAGTAAACGCTTTCCATCTTGCACAGGGGATTGAAGATGTTTCTCAGTCTTGAGGATCCATTTCTCCCGCTACATCGGCCCTTCGTTTCTCGCGGCCTCGCGCTGTGTAGTCAGCGACGGGAGAAAGCGGCGGAAGACAGTCGTCAGCAGGTGACTTCCGGAAGTCCCGGAGACGGCGATGCGGCAGGTGGTCATGACGCAACTGTTTTTATCCACCCCTCTTCCTCCCCGACGCCCACGAAGCTATCTCCTGCAGAAGCCGCACGTCTGACACAACAGATCCCAGACAACGAGGCCCCGGCTTTGCACAAGTGGCGCAGTCTCCTTCTGCGCCCGCCATTGTTGCTTTGTGGACGGGCGCGCCTCCGGCCGCGAACGCGGAAGAGTCGTGGTGCGGTCAGGGTGGCGCGCCTCAGCAACTTCAAACAATACCCCGTTTGCTCGCACGCGAAATTGAATGGAACTGTGGAAGATGTAGTCCCAACGTTAGAAGTATCGGCTCGTATCCCTTATTGTCACACACGTGAACGAATCACTTCCCGCTAAGAACGAAATGGCATTTCATACTCTATTAGCTCAGTACCCTGCATTGCCCGGGTATTTATTAATCACAATCGTCTATGATGCAAGAAAAGGAATTAATTATTTATATATTGAACTCTCGTTTCAACCTATTCCTGATCCGCTCTGGGATGTACTAGCGCGTTCCTTTTCAGTTTTACCCGACATCGCCCAGCCCTGTTCCACCTACCCAACTCCGCCCTCTCACTGCCCAACACAGCCTCGCTTTGCGTCACCTAGCCCCGCCCCACACAGACCTGCCGCGTTTTCTTCAATTATCGTTGCTACCACAGTGGTTGTTGGGAGTAGCAGTGAGCAGATGCGTTTTTGCATACTCCTGGCAAACTTCCAGTAACAAATGTGACATTTAATTACTCAAGGCATAAATATGTTATGAGAATGAACAAAAATAATTTAGAAGCAAATATTGTAAGATTTTAAAAATGTTTAATACATTTTGGGATAGTTTTACCAAATCTAATGGAGACGGTAACTTTTCTCTTTTTTTACGCTCATGCGTACAAAATTTCATTGAGGTCGAAATAAAAAAAATTGATTTGAATGAAAAACAAACAAACGTTAATATTTACGTAAGAGTAAATAGTAATTTGAAAAAAGTAGCCTACGTTACGCCCGACAAAATTTTCTACCTTGTAGTGTCTGCATAGAGATCAATTCAACCTTTCTCGAGATTATCCTGGACAAAAGGACAGACGAAAATCAGGAAAACAATTGAAATTTATTTTATATCATCCGAATACGGGTATGGCATTATAAAATGTTATTTATATTGATTAACCTGACACGTAACATTTTAGGCCGCTTTGCTACGCGTGTCAAAGTTGATGGCGAAGCTCCGGCCTTCAAGCCAAAAATTGCGCATATTTCGCGCGATTTTACGTGAAAAATATATCAGAACTTATTTCAAGATCTGATTTTAAAGAACATATTTCTCTAGGCAAATATCTTTATCTTCAATATTGTAGTTGAAGGAAGTCGCCGAAAAAAGTTGAACTTGTACAATTTTCGAAAAATCAGGGATTTCAATGAAAATGAGAGCTGCACCATTATTTTAAGCGTTTTCCACTCTATCCGAAAGTACCACCAAAAATCAAAATTATCAATTTCAAACTCGGAAGGTTTTCAGTTCGTTCAGGTAGGTCAGAGATGATCAATTTTGAAGGAAATCATCTGATCGGTTTAGGCGCTAGCAATGACCACAGACATTTTGCACTCAATCGAATTTTCTGTATCAGGAACCCATAAAATGGATTCTGATTACGTAATGATGAAGTATATGCTATATATAGGAACAAGATTTATCTCGCTTAGCAGGGCCTGGCAAAAAGAGATTTTTTTTTTCAAAAATCAGTCTTCCAACGCACAATGACAGTACTACCTCTTTTTACGAAGTAGGGCGAGAAGTGAAAAAAAGCCAATTCACAGAATTTAAAACACAATCTCTCTTTAATAGAATTATGGGTAACGTATATATTGAGTAATCGCTGCTGAAATTGCTCGAAAAGAAGTCTTTGTCTTGTAAATCGGACTCCATAAAGAAAATCTTCGTACTTAATCTGATATTCATTGTGTGGTTATTTTAATATTTTTGTCGTTGTGTGCAATGTTCATGAAAAAATGTACAACTACACTTGCAGTAATATAATCACGAAATTAAAGCAGCCCACTATCAAAAAATAAAATTCTAAGTTCAATGATGCACATTGTAACTACGAAACGGGAATGCCCTCGTTGTGGCGGCGAGAGGCCCGGATAGAACGGAGTAAGACTTCAACTGAAGAAAACATCTTGAATATCACACCACTTCCTGCCATTATCAATGGCGTGGACCTGAATTATAATGACGCGGCACTCCTTTCTAGTCGACAGGGCTTTGTCATAGATGACATGGCATTGAGTTAAACGTTGCTGTTATAGTGCGAGAAGTTTTAGATCTCGTTGTGGCTAGCATGTTTTCTCCTCTTACTAATAAAGGCAAGAGAGACGTTCGTTCTCCGGAGTTTTCTTTGCTGGCATCTGCTTCCGACATTATGCCCGCAAGACTGCAAGTTAACCGGTCGAGTTTGCATTTTTTTTACGTCTGTCCCTGCAGCTTCGTACCTAGTTCGATGCACTAACCTGACTGCGACCAGTTCTTTATAACCCGTAACGTCAGCTAAATCGAAGATTAAAATGTCAGAGAGGTGAGATGGGGGGGGGGGCTTGATTACTCGGGTGTGACACGTCTTTCCGATCCCATCTCAACGCTAAAATCGGGCTTTGATATTATCGCCCATGCTCCGTTAAGCATATCATCTTAAGCAAGGCGAAGCCTCTTACAGTGTTTTACGAAGGCGTGCATGACGTGAATAAAGCTTCTGAAAAGATGGAAAGAAACTGCTTTATCATGTTGAGAAGTACCCAAAGTCGGGAAAGATCTTGTGGAATGAGATACGAGAGGGAAACGTCAAATATTCGGCACTTAGGAAATCATAGAGAATAGCGTATAGCGATTTACCAGACTTGATTACACTGGTTAATTCGTCCTTCAGGGCTGATTAGTAGTTATTGTCAATGGCATGCCATAAGCTAGACTAATACGAAGTGTTAGTGAAGTTACGTAACGTCCAGTCGCTGTCCCAGCGTTCTCAATGAGTAATAGCTTGTGGCTGAAGCTGCCTTCGAACGCCTTTGCTTCGCTGCCGCAGCTGGAGCGCTAATTCTCCCTCGGAAGCCAACGCGGCAACCGCCGCGCCTTCGGCGGCATTCTCGCCCTTCGTAGCAGCCTGGATTGATGATTGATTGATTGAGTAGTTATTCCGGGCGCGTCAATCACCAAGGTAATTATTCCCGAAAGCGATGTACATATTTTATCGCACGCGGTGGCGGTGATCTTTCGAAACAGGATGGCAAGATTCGGCGCCGACATACGTCGGCGTGAACAGATTTTCCCCGACTAGGTATCTCCCACCAACCGTCCCAGCCAGCACCAACCGTCTCTCACCAGCCGTCACCGTCCGAGCCGGGACAAACCCTAAGCTTCCGTGTGATCTCCCAACAAGTGTGGATGTGTAGTGCATGGATGTGAAAGTAAGGGGTGAGGATAGGAGAAGGAAGACGAAGGAAAAATCGCGCGGTCCGTGGCCCGTTTGTTAAGGTTTCAGCATTCGGCTGGTGTTTATCGGGGAAACCACGGAACACTACAGATCAGAGACGTCGGCTGACCATTTCTCCTCGAGATGCGGCAGAACTCGTCCTAGATTCCTAGCTAATATCTACGAATAAAACCCTGCCAAAGTCGGAACTCGAACCTAGGACCTCCGGGTCAGAGGCACTGCAGTGGCACGAGTTGAGCCTCTGCCGATGGCAGGCCTGGAACTGAATGAATCACTGTGTATAAAAATTGCACGGAGCTTCGCAAAAAGAAGTGTCGACAGAAATAGTTGATGGGCCCAGATCGATAAAGATGAGAGCGAATGATGTTGATAAGAGCGGCGCCGGCGTCTAGAACGACGTCCGATTGGCGGTGTGCGGCGCGTAGTGTTGTTTGGCGAGGGCGGGGGTTCGGGAAGGAAGAAGCGAAGCGGTCGGAGCGGCGGGAGGAGGATCGGGCGACGGGCGCGCGGTGGGGGGTGGCGACGCGACGCGACGCGACGCGACGCGATGCGACGCGACGCGACGCGACGCGACCCGACGCGTCAGGTGCGCGTCTGATAGCGCGCCACCGTTTATGCCGGTGGCGCGCGCGCCGCCTCGCCAGTCGCGCTCTCCGCCGCCCCACGCACGCGCTGACACGCGCTCGCGCACTCGCTCGCCCGCTCGCCCGCGCTCCGACGCAGCGCCGGCCCCGTACAGCAGCGCACTCGCCCGCGGCCACGGCGACGGCGACGGCGACCGAGGACTCCTCCAGCGGGTGGGTGGCGGCGCCGCGACGCCTGCGCTGGCCTCTGTGGGCTGCTGCCTTCAGCCGCCGTGCGCTTGTGTAGTTTTACGCGATTCCTTCATGTTTGCGGGCGCGTCAGCGGCTACGCGCGTTAGTCCCGTTAGTGTCGTGAATGTTTTATCCCGGTCGGTGTTCCTACCGGGTACCTAGTGTCTAATGTCTAGTGTCTAGTAGCTAAAGTGAAAAATCCCACCTCGAACTCTATGATTTCCCGGTATGAGTCGCTGCCGAGACAGTGGCATTGTAGTGACTCTCAGCTGACTCAGCCGGTTATGCAGTCGTGCCATGCTCCTACGCTGATGCCAGTGTTTAGCCGATGCGGCGTAGTAGGGAGAATAGCTGTCATGCAGAGAAGTTGACTGCGGGATGTAGTACGCTTTACAGCAGCTTCGCGTTCGAACTGCGGTGATCAGATTAAACATTCGCCGAAATTGTATCGCGAGACAAGTCTGGTTACCGGTTGTCTCGTATTTAAAGTTCGCTGATTGCTTTTAACAGTTACTTGAACCCTCCTCAACGGTGAAGTTACCTACACGGAGTAGCGGCGGCTGCTCCATGAAGTACCACGCAAATACACTGTGAAGCGGACGTCAGTCGTGATCGCCGTGGTCAGTAATAATGACGGTGCTTTTTCAGAATGACTTTCATTCTAATCATGTAAGTGGTGAAATTAATCAAAATGGGATAAAGCAGATAATGGCATAACATGTATTGTCATTATTACCGATCGTAGGAAATTCGTTCAAGATACGGGTGTACTTCAGCTTCTCACGGGGAGGGTAACAACAAATCCTATCATTGAGATAGCAATTAAATAATTCACAATCACGCCAACAAGACGACAACAAGCGGCGTGTAGTTCATTGTCGCCCGTGCCGCGTGCGTAACGTGTTATCAGCGAGTTATGTCCTGAAGACCTAAGAGCTTGGGCCCGAAAGCTTTTGCAATTCGTGAATCATTATAAAAAGAAGCGATGTTAACACACTTGTGTTGCTCTCCAAACTTCTGTTGTGTAAAAATCAAGTTCTTTCGTTCGCAAATGTGTTGATCTCGTGTAAATATAGTCGATAAGTCGCCATAAACAAGAACGCCACTGTAAAGATAGTCGCTGTGAAACTGAGCTTGCCGCCCGCTGTGTTCCGCAGAACGACTAACAATAATAAAGACCGCGGATTCGCGCCGCGTCGCGTCGCGTCGCGTCGCGTCGCGTCGGCCTCCCTTTCAGCAACGGCTGTTTGTGCAAAGATTACGGCCGTTTGAATGCATTGAAAACTCGGTGAGATCTGGTTCACCGAAATTCGTCCCGTAGCACTTTCTGCCGTTGCAATCAACGGCAAACAGCGAATGTTTATTTATTTGACTTTGATTGACTTCAATGTGTTTTTGCGTAGAAATTAATGTTGCTTCGCTACGCGCACATTTTGTTACTCTTTCTTTTCGCTAGTTGTGTCAGGAGGAGAACCGAGGGTTCTCGTTTGCTGTGTTAATAGCAATGCTACTAAATTAAATCTGTAGTTCGTTTACCAATATCAAATACCCTTTGTGTAACTGTGGAACGATAATTTCTAGTTTTCAAATATTTCTAACCTCACTCACTTGGCTCTTTTCATCATTCAACTACGAATAGTGAGGGGAAATAATTTTGCCAAAGCTCAAGATATCATGCACGGGTAATACATCTCAGCACATCACATAGTTTTACTATCTTTTAACTGAAATAAATAGGATAAAATTCAATCGTGTTTTGATATATTTTAAAAGCATTTTCAATAATTTTACTGTTTATAATAATATTATTATCTTTTAAATTCTATAATTTCCGAATTTGAGTTTTTTAGTTGCAATCTTAATTCTGGTTGCCTTAGACAGGTTTTGTCTTAATGTCATTTATTCATCAGATTATAATTTAATGGCAAGTCGCATACACTTCCAGAATTAGTATTTATGATGACACATTTCTAGTTAGCGAGATGCATGATACAGATATTAAATCTGAATATATTCTAAAATCTATTCATGAAGACACTTTTAAAGAATCTGAATTAAACAAGTACAAATACAAATAAACAAGTTGGAAATCGAGAGTACGTGTGTATGATTTCGTGGTTATGAAAAATTTGAAATCCATATGAGCTCTGATTGTTGTAAATCTGTTTGACTTTCTAGAATTGTGCGTCTGTTTGACTTTTCATAATTTTGCTATTGTAATTACTAGCTTACTGCCTTTGTTCGCCTCTAGTGTCATACTGGAATATTCATTCGTATGCCTGAAATTAATTATGATTGTGCATTCATAATAATGCAATGTAATGCATTTACTTAGGGTAATATGAGTAAGATGCATATTATATTGTGTGCGACATCTTTGATAGCGTGAAAGTACACGTATTACAGCTTGAACTTCGAACAAATCTTCAAATTTTGGGCCTTTTGGGCAATTATTTTAAACTTAAAACTCTAACAATTTGTTAATGATTTGTAATCTGTCGTGAACTTATATTTCAAAAAGTTGTTTTTATATATACATTTTAACACTATTTTGTTAATAAAAAAGCTTATATTGGAAGTCATTTTTAAGTCTGTGAGCTTCTTGTACTTCAGTTTACAAAGTATGTAAGTGTGAGTGTGTTCTCAGTGGAAATGTGTTAATGTAGTATCGCTGGTAATTAAAGTCCCTGACAAGGTTTAGCTCTTGAGCGATTCTCGAAACCTTCATGTTCGTGTGAACAGTCAACGTTGCTCATATACTTGTTACCTGCGAAAAAGAAAGCGTAATTACACAGATCTACGAGACACTGTTAACGATAGCATCCTTGTTTTTTCTCAAGGCCATTATATTAACATACCTTGTACAATTTGTTTATTATTTAAATAAAATACACTGCTAATAAAGGAGATTATGTGCTAGAAAAGTAATTTTAAATATTTATGAAGACTGTAGAAATTATCGTTGTCAAACATTGAATCAAGAGGAATATATTTCGTTGATGCCTTGATGTCGAACGAGATGTATCAGCATCTTTCAGTACTCTTTTCAGTTCGTTTGTGAAGTGTATCTGTGCTTAATAAAATAATATTAATTAGTAGTGCTACAACCGGAACAGATTCCATTAAGGAAACAATATATTTAAGATGTTGGAAGACTCCGAAAAAATGTTGAACTTTTGCAATTTTCGAAAAGTCGGGGTTTTCAACGAACATGAGACCTGCACCACTCTCTTAAACATCCTTCACACTATCCAACAAAAAAATTAATCAAAAACGTTGCAGATATGTTTTTGAAAATTTGGAAAATGTCCCAGGGGCTTCATGTAAAGTGCCCCCAAAATTAAAATATGTTTCAAATTGAAAGGGCCGCGACATAAGCCAGATTGACTGAGGAATATCAGTTTTGGAGAAAATCGGCTGGACGGTTTAGCCGCTAGCGTTAACGACGGACGGACGGACAGACAGACATTTTGCCGTCATACAGTTTTTCGATATCAACGACCCACAAAACATGGATTCTGGCTACACCACGTGTGAGATTTTTTTCAATTTAGCAGCTGGATTTATCTACTTCTTCGTTACCAAGACCCTGTGATAAATGTTTTTCTAACGAAAATGTAACAATGTAACAATGAGTGGTAATAGCGCCCCCTTCCCAGATATAAAAAAAGGTTTTTATTATCCATTCAACAAGACAAAGTTTTTTTCACAAAAAATGGGGTTAAGTTCCACCTATAAATTTACGTGACGCGGAAGAGGAAACGACTGAAACAATTCATTTTATTTAGTCTTTTACTAAAACATTAACGTATTTAAAAAAATAAATGACAAATATAATAAACTAAAACAGTGATGTATTAATTGTTACAATACATGGAAATATTTTTTAATATGTTGATTGACTCTGTTAGATTACCAAGAAAATATTCAAAACATATTTATAGTATATTCTAAACTTGACTTTCATTATGATAAATTTTAATTTAACACAAATAGAATTAATGCAATTCGCTTTTTCTGCTTTATAATTGATTTTTACTTATTGTAATGGGGGGGGGGTTGTCGCAAGCGCTACGTTATTATGTGTGGGGTATTCAACCACGCGTTCCAGGTGCATTACAAGGAGGAGAGGGGTTTCCAAAACACTCCAAATTTGCGTTTCGTAACTTATTTAGGGGCCGTACATACATTGTCAGAGTTTCGTCTGCTGATTTACAGACCTCATGAATGCTCTTATAAGAGAACCCAAGAAATATGAAAATACCAGACAACATCCTAACACTACCTAAAAAAATTAACTACCACTAAAAATTACATTGATCATATTTACACGAAAGACCGTCAATGTGAGATTCAGATAAGTTGCATTACAATTGAAGTGCACTGTATTAATGAAATCTATAATGCAAGAGGTTCAAAAAAGTCAAAACTTTCTACTTGCTTTGGACACCTCTATTTCTATTTCTGTATAATAAAGCAAATTATCTGAACATCAGATACCCATACGATAATTTTACAGACTGCTTTTTAATTTGACACAAGTTGTGGTTCTTACATGTAGCTCCAGCTGCGAAAGTTCTCTCACGGGCTGTGTACGGAATATGGCATTGACCTCGTGACGCAGGGAATAAAAAAATATGTTTAATAAAGTCCTCGAAAAACGTGAAGGAAGTTTTTCGTTTCGTTAGATCACTAAAATAATCAAAACTACGAAGCCTCTTTGAGACAGTAGAGCATGTAGACCGCAGGTGGTTACTAAAACAAATGGGGGCAAGGGCAGCAGTTTTGCCCGCGACAGTAGCTGGCAACAGCAGAGAAAACGTCGAAAATGTCTGATCCAGTTGTCAATGTGGAATTAGTCCTGTATTCGGCGAACGGAATGTCTTCTTTGTACTGCGGAACAACATCTGATTGCGATTTAGCTATTGCACTGAGAACTACTTTCTGACGTTCTGAGAACTACCATCGCAGTGAAAGTTAGGCCATATGAGTACTCGAAACGTAATACCTCCCGGTCATCATAGAATGTAATTTTGGAATATATAAGAGTAAATAATAAGAATGGTGTTTCTGTTTATTTTTTAGCAGTGAATTTGCACTTGTGTATACTTGTGGAAGACGTACGGCGGTGTTTTTGTTGTTGTTTTTAATACTTCACCGCATCCAAGTGAGAGTCTAAAAATTGTCATGGGAAATTGCCAAGTAATTCGCGGATTGTACGTTAATTCGCCTGCGCTTCTCATTAGCGGATGCTGCTAATGAGAGTGCCATGCCCCTCTCGGGCGGCGGGACGAGGACCGGCGCGTGGGGTGTGTAAAGGGGAATAAGCCGCTAGTGGCTAGGGGAATAAGTGAGTGTCCGCAGACGCCCCAACCACACTCTCTTGAGCGACGCGGCAACCCAGGAAGTTAAATGTTCACGAGCTCAGATCCTCAAGATCTCAGCAGCGTTCACACAGCGTTATGGCTTGCGAGAACCCTCATCTACCTTTTAAACGTATCCCTACCACCTGTACTTTTTCCTCCGCGCGTTTTTTTCTCGTATCTTTATGGATTTGGCTTTTAATCGAAATCATATCCTCCATCTCCCTGTATTTCCTCTTGATCTTCCCACGCCCGCCAACTGATCGTTCCATCGTACGACCATGGAAGAATCTTGTTATGACCATGGTAGGACACTCTCTTTTCCTCTCTTCCGTTGGTTACAAGTGCATTTGTCATCGCATCTCTCCACGAAACTGACGTGTTCGCCCAAGAGGTCCTATGTTGTCTTAATATTGCTTTTTGATCCCTCGCATAGTATATTAACACTTTGCTTAATATTAAGGAATCTGCTTAATACTAAGAGTAAATCAGTAGATTCTATTTTCAAAATGGCAAACATACATACACACGCGTTTATTACGTGTTGGTAATTCGAACGTATTAAAAGTGTATTAACTTTCTTTACCATATTGGACAACCGTTAATTTTCACAAATTATTTCGTGGACGATTGCACCTAGGACGAGGCTGATCGGCGCTAGAGGTACCGTCACTTACACTATGTGACCAAAAGTATCCGGACAAATGGTGAAAATGACTTACCACTTCGTGGCGCCCTCCATCGATAATTCTGGAATTCAATAGGCTGTTCGCCCACTCTTAGCCTTGATGACAGCTTCCACTCTCGCAAGCATACTTTCAATCAGGTGCTGAAAAGTTTCTTGAGGATTGGCAGCCCATTCTTCATGGAGTGCTGCACTGAGGAAAGGTATCGACGTAGGTCAGTGAGCCATGGCACGAAGTAGGCGTTCCAAAACATCCCCAAGGTATTCGATAGTATTCAAGTCAGAACTCTGTGCAGGCCAGTCCATTACAAGGATGTTATTGTCGTGTAACCACTCCGCCACAGGCCGTGCAGTATGATCAGGTGCTCGACAGCGTTGAAAGATGTAATCGCCATCCCCGAATTGCTCTTGAACAGTGGGAAGCAGGAAGATGTTTAAAACATAAACGTATGCCTGTGCCACACAAAACAAGGGGTGCTAGCCCCCTCCATGAAAAACACGACCACACCATAACACCATTTTGGACGAGTACGTATACTCGTGATCACATAATGTATATGCTGTGTTGTCACCTTTGGGTTGAATTGTGATCGTGAAAGTTAATGATCTCGTAAGAAAAATCGCACATCTTCGTACAAATTTTCCAAAAATAAAATTTAAAAATTCGCTTAATCAATTATCGCGTGAACTCCTCCAACACGTGAATCACAAAATCAGAATCATAGCACACCGGATCTTATGACATTTACATATTTCGTTCTGTTTCCCCGTGAACCAGATATGGTCTGTGAAGCAACAGGCTCATAAAATGGGCTACTCAACAAGTACATCCTACGTGCGAGATAAATGCTCTTTCGAGACTAGGTGGAGGTTATCCATCAAGCAGTGTCACGTGGAATATCGAATCCTAGGCTCGTCTACAGGTGTAATTTCCCGCAGACTGAGAGAAGTCTCTGCCGAAGGTATCGCTGCAAGTTGTTAGGATTCTCAGAAGTACAGTAGCATTCGAGAAGACTTGTCTCATTCTGTTCTTCATGGAGCCTTTTTATCACTTGCATGACTGATATTATTGTAGTTGCTATATTCTATTAACTATAAAACAAATATTAGGTAAGGATAATGTGAAATAATAGTAAATAATATGACTTATCATTCATGGTACGTGCTGTAACATGTGACAAATTATTATTATTATTATTATTATTATTATTATTATTATTATTATTATTATTATTATTATTATGTGTGTGGTAACAAGGAGAGTGGTGAAGATGATTACGCTCGTATTGATTGGCCTAGTTAACTTCGCATGTCTCTCCGGGCGAACAAGTACAACCAGACCTTTGATTCCGTTTCCTCTCCGGCGGTGGAACCGAAGATAACACTGAGGAACAAATGGGAAAAAAATTACCGCTGAGAGTAGTAAAGTGTAACTTTTTGCTAAATTGCAGGCGATGAATTGAGATATGAATTTAGAAATGCCGCATCACGTACCACTTTTTGTGTAAATATCATGAAATGCTATGGAAATAATATTAATGTAGTATAATTATATAACTGCTTTGGAACCATTTCCCCTTCGATTACTATTAATTTGTTATTGCGAAACCAATTTAGAAATCTGTACTATTTACTGTTTCTTTATTGCAAATAATATTCATATCATCCGCAAAGAGAACTGTTCTTTCATTTCGAATCGTTGATGACATATCGTTTACATATAGTAGGAAGAGAATAGGGCCTAAAATCGAACCCTTTGGGACCTCATCCGAAATTGGCAATGATTTGGAAAGGTCAGTAAATAATATACCATCATTTTAGATGGTGTTTCTACTCTTTGAAATCGTTATAGTATTAACATAACCAATTTAGAGCAATATCACGAATTCCATACGAAGGTAATTTCGAAAATAAAATGTTAACAGATGTCGTCAAAAGCTCATCAACTAAAATGTTAATCAGCGACGTCAAAGTGTATGAAATATCTAAATATATTCTAATAGTTGCTTCATTTTTATCCACGGATGAAACGAAATCTAATGAAAAGAAAATATCGCTATTTCTGTAGATTTTATAAATTCATGTTGAATTTTTTATCGGAGATATTTATTGGATCGAATCGTGAGTGTTGGGCCTCAAACCATTAGGCCTGCTCTTCCGTCTTCTACAGTTTTGCCGCAAATTGGAAGATTTTAATTGCATTGTCATTTCATCCTTTCTTTCCCCTCAGTTATTGTGTGTAGTATTTTGCGCTGTAGTAATATTGTGAATTTAGAAACCTTAAACGTAGTAATCGAAAAACCTATTTGTTGAATAGAAGAGTCAATTGTAAAACATTTCGAGAAATCGGGATAAGAACTGAGGATCTGATCTTTTATTTATAAGTTGTCTGTTCGACTCCTGAGAGAAGAATTATTAAAATATTTGTTTATAGTTTCACTTATTGGTTTGTTATGCGATATAGGTGTTGTGGTAAGATATCTTTGGCATTTTTAAAATAATTAAAGATGTTGGTCATGCCAATCAATGTTTTTTTAATTCAATACAGCTTTTTCGAGCATAGGCCATCATCATCAAGTTGTGCTGATACAAGTAAGAAAAAACACACAAAAAAAAAAACCATTAAAACGTGATAATTAACCAACAAGATATATGATAAAGGGTTACAATAATTTACAAATTTTTTTGCCGAAAATAATATTTGACAACAGGGGAGAAAGCAAACAGTGGTTGTTAATGCGAGCCGGATTATAATGTGTTCGCTAATTAGTTGCCTTGGTTTTTGCTGTGGACATCGGTCAGAAATCTTCCCCCTAGTCGAGGAATGAGCGGAGGTTGGAAGGAAGTTAGTTCGACGGTTATTGCGCAGAGGGATTTGTCTTGCTGCTCGCATTTTCTTTCCGAACTGTTCCCGCCTTACGCCACCGCGGCGAGTGGTCTCAAACCTCGTTTTGCGCCGCACCCTGCGTGCGGCCCGCCTCTGCTGGCCCCCGCCTTCCCCCCGGCCCACGCCCCGCCCCGCCCCCCGCCCCGCCCCCCGACCCCGCCCCCCCGCACCGTCGCCACCGCTCTCGCCTCTCTCCTGAGGAAGGGAGCTTTCGAAATAACTTGCAATGAAATTTCCGAGTTAACCAAATCAGACCAGCTTGTATCATAATACTGATACTAATCTTTTTATTTTGGAAATGTATCAACATGTTCTGTCATACTGCCCTTTTGCGACTAACTATATAACTTAACTATATAAGTAACAAATAATTATAATATTTATTTACGTCAAAAACAATTAAAACTGTGTGTGACGTGCTATGGGGAGAAGTTGAGTTGAAGTTGCATTTATGTCCAGAAGCAAAACAAGGGGCCATCTCAGCATTTGCTCGAGGATCAGGGAAACTGGACGAAAACCTGATCGAGATGGCGGTCATTGACCCAGAAGCTGAAGAACTATCCTTGTTGCAGGTTCTTCCAAATGATATATAATACATTAAATGTCATTGTTAAAATTAATATTACTTTCCTTTTGGATGCTCGGTATAGTCTCTAATTGTATAGAAATAGTTGTCCATCAGAAAATATTTTACTTGGGCCTTAAACGTTTGTATCGAATTGAATCGTTTAATGTCATCTGGGAAGGTGTTGAAAAATAATGTACATGTATTATATGTGAATTTTTTGAAGTGCGCTGTTGATACTGTTACCTGATGAATGATTACTACGTCGAGTGTTGTAGTTATAAACAACGACTGAAAATATATTCCCGCCCTTAAGTAAGTCATTTTTGACAAAAAACACTGATTCATATATGAAGAGACAAGGTAATGGTAAATTACCTAGATTAATAAAGATAGGCTGACAAGAATCACGTGGGTGGGATTTGCTTATTATTAGTACATTTAGTTTTTGTCTAAAAGTCTGGGAGCTATAAGATGCATTTCCCCAGAATATTATGCCATATCTCAGGCGGGAAAGAACATTCGCGAAATATACACAGCACTTTATATGTACACAATACATTTTTAAAGTTGAAGGGTGTGTATTATTATTATTATTATTATTATTATTATTATTATTATTATTATTATTATTATTATTGTATTATTATAATACTTGAGGGTGCAGCGGGTTGCGTACAGCTTCTGTTCAGGGGCCCTAAATTCGGAATAAATGCATAAAATCAACTCGCGTCTTTGTGCGACAGACATACGACCATTCCTATTGTACTAAGGCTATATTCTTCCCGCGCAAGTGCAAGCAATAAGTTGACATATTTTGTCACAATTGGATGAACGCATAATATACGCAAAATATATCGACAGAACGCATAATGATCGCACCGCATAAAATACGAACAAACATTTTTTTATATTAAATGGAGGCGCACTATCTGAAAAAAATGTGACAACATTCTCAAATCATATGTAATAAGCAAAAAAATCACAAGTTTTGATCTTGTTCCAGTTTCCCAATCACGATATTCTCGCAGGGACGCAGGAAACCATGTTATAGAAGTAAACAACTCTGAAATGGGTCGTCCGGTTGACCGAGATCGTTAAGGCAGTAGTGTCGTAGCGATCTCGAACTGAAGGATCGCGGATTCGAGTCCCGCCTCGGGCATGGTTGTATTTGTGTTCGTCCGTTCACCCCCTAACAACACTGTATCATGTCATCTTCATAGTTACCATAGCAAATCCAATAGTGGTCGCTAATGACCTAGGTGTTGATGTGACAGATGACTAGATCCCATCTTCGGATTATTTTTAAATAGCTTACGCCTGGATTTCACATATGTCTTAAAGTCACGGATTAAATATCTGAAGAGAAGGATTGAAGAAGACTTCGTTTACGATTAAGCTAACGTTACTCCAGTCCACTCACATCAATAATGTAGCATTGCTGAACTCGTGTCAGTGAAAAAGCCGTGAGAATTTTTATGGAAAATGAAAGTTATTAACATTCGGGTAGATTGTTTTGTGATTACATTATTTTTTGTAATGAATAGATATGATTAGACCTAACAATTTTAATTGATTTAAAGGTATATTTCGTTAATTATTTTCTTTGCTTTATCCACTGTTTTGTTATTTATTATACTATTGATATTAAATGTGTGTTTCTGTGAATTGTAAATCAAGAGCTCATTGTGCGTAGATACACTTGGATATTGCGGATAGAAGATTTTGGTTACGAAATTGTATACGAAAGTGGGGTAAAAGTGACAATTTTTTGTGTACGTATTTATTTAACGAAGCCTAAATAACAATTGTTTTTTATAGATGCCGATTTTAGTTATATGTATACTCTGTATAATGTTATGTAATGCTGTAGGAATGGGTGTCGATATTTTGACAAAATATCTGTTTTAGGTTCCCTAATATTGAAAATATAGTTTTTCTGTCTCCTATATGGAGTATCTTTTGTTCTCGTATACGTAAGAAAGTTAAAATACACCTTTTGGGGGTTCTTGATGCACCTAAAGTTTTTGAAAACGTTAGTCAATCCGTTTATTGTGAACAACACTAGCGTCTAAACAGCATTTCATCAAAATTGATGAACCCTGGTCGGTATGAGTGATTCCAGGGCCCCTCAAATTTGAATGGTATCGTTTATTTATGAGAGGACTTTACATGAACCTCTAAGACATTATCGATATTTTCTCACAAATTGCTCCAAATTTTCCTTTATACCTGTTGCTTAACCAAATGAAAGTATGATTACGAAAATGGCTTGGGTTCGATTTTCAATAAAACATCTAAAATTTGGCAATTTGCAGTAGTTCGACACTTACACACTTATATTATCATACATATTTTACTTAAAGCAATCTCTCCTTTGAAGTTAGCTCAGTTGTAAAACAGTTCATGTGGTGTCATGTATACACGAAGACACACATTTTTCATTACATTTTTCCTCGGAAAGAGTACTACTTATTGTGTTACATCACTCGCCATTGCACTTGACTCACGCTGGCGAACATGAGGTACTGGCGTAGTTAAAGAATTCCCCCAGTTTCCTGTAGCATCTTTTTATCTTTCTATATATTTCTTTCATATATATATAATATAATATAATATAATATAATATAATATAATATAATATAATATAATATAATATAATATAATAATGTTGGGGTGTCACCATGTATATTTTATGTGAAACTTCTGGAATTCTCGAATTGCGCCGACGCCTGAGGTTGGTCGACGTGAGTCGAGTGGAAATGGCGAGTGATGTAATGCAATAAGTAGTTCTCTTCATGAGGAAAAAGTTAATGTCGGCCTTGAAACGGAAAGAAGCGTGTGAAAAACCAACCGGTGACTTGCACTTGTATTGCCGAGATGATCGCTGTGTCTTCAAAACGTGGGAACTGTTGGGGTTTAGTGAATGGGTTTTTCAAAGAGACATTCACAATGCTCTAGAGGAACGAGTAAAACCATAATAGATTAAGTTATCGGCAAATAAAAGGTGGAAGATGTTAATCTATAGAGGACCCGAGTGCAACTCAGACCATTTTTTGTTCAAATCAGGAGTGTATCTTTTTTATGCATTCAAAACACACACATTGGAAATTCATGTGTCCAGAACCATAGAGAAAATATAATACAAAATGTGTTTGCTTGAAGATCTAAATTTATCCTTCCTCCACAAGCTCAGGTAGAGTAAGAAACTGTTAGAAGTGAACCAAACTACTACTCAAACACTCTACGATGGAATTTTAGATGCCGTACATCATTGTGACCCATGGTGGAATAAAGCTTTGGAAGGGAAAGTGCGAGACAATAAAATTGTTTGAATACATGGTTAGATTTAAATTTATTCAATCAAAAAAACTGTATGTGACGTAGGGGGCAAATTTATCTGCGCACGTTTTCTTGAGTTCCAGAATCCCTTCCCGTCATTTTAACTATAAATAGTTGAAAGATGAGTAAAAGTTTAACGTAAATAAATAAAAATAATTTTAAAAATAAATTTCAAAAATCGCAAGATAAGCAATATTTGAAAAATTGTAATTTTCGTTTCTGATGTATAGAAAACGTATTTGCATCGGTACATGAATTGCAAGTATGCTTTTTCTGCGTTGCTAACAAAATAGCAACTCGCTCTTACCTCTATTCTTACCATTACAAGCAAAAGGAGAGTTCAACACAACGTGCGCATAGTGAAGCTACATTTACGTCCAGAAGCAAAACAAGAGGCCATCTGAGTATTTGCTCAATGGATCAGGGAAACTGGACAAAAACCTGATCGAGATGGGGTTAAGTACTCAAAATATTGAAGTCAGAGACCAGTATCGCTAAATTTGTTGAGAAGTTAAAGAAGTAAGAAAAGCAAAAAATGAAACTTGGCAAATAGTATGTGAACATGTAGAACAGTGTTGGCAATGCCAGATCAAAGAACGCATGAAAAATAATAAAGAACCGCAGACAAATCGAAAAGCAAAATGCAGTACTACAAACTATAAGTATAGATCAATTTAAACCATATAACAAAGAACTTTTGAAAGAAAATTGGTTTGCATTTAGTAACACGTACAACATAGAGCTCGAGGAAACGGCTGACAATGGAGAAACAAAATGTAAATACGAAATTGATTACAGCAGTTAAAGATTTGTACAGTGATAATACGAGCCAAATAAAAGTAGGGAGAAACGTTTCAGCACCATTTCCTGTAAACACTTCGCAGATAATCAGGTAGTGTTCGCTGAAGATGAAGACGATGCTCTATACATGCTGCGAATATTTGATGAAGAGTACTCGGAATGGAGTGTAGAAATAAACCTTAACAAGACCGAGTATGTCATTATTAGAAGTTCGGAAGTAAAACGCTCTCCAAAATTCGTATACCTTGGTTCAGAAATAAACGCAAATGGAGGGCAGTACGATATGGAAAGTTAAATTTAAGTAAGAGTGTGAAACGAAAATTATACAAGACTGTTGTAGAGAATATTGCCCTTTATGGATCTGAGGTTTGTGAAGTAACAAAAAAGAGCGAAAAGAAATTGAAAGCAATGGAAATGAACTACTGGCGCCGAAGTTGTGGACTGACTTTATTGGATAAAGTTAAGAAGTAAGAAATTAAACGTAAAGCGGATGCGAGTTTTAATATAATTGACACCATAGAAGTGACAAGACTAAAACGGTATGGGCACATGCAAAGATGGAACGAAGAACGTTAGCCGAATATATTGTGGAAATGACAACCAGCTACCCATCGATGAAGAGGAAGACCTAGATTTACATGGGGAGAGGGAGTGGTAAAGATAGGATTGAGGAATGAAGACTACACCGATAGAGAGATGTGGAGGCTGGGATGCGAGAGACACCTTAGGGTGTAATATAATTCGCTATACTGCTACTGCAGCAGCTACTGCTACTGCTGCTACTACTATGTACACGTTTTGTTGAGTTCTCCTTTAGTGTAGTAGATAGTGATGCAGTATATCCAGAAGTGTGTGCTTGCCATTTCGTTAGAAACACAATTCAAAATCCAATCTGTAGTTCGTTTGCCGATACAAGTGAGTATTGCTAGAGTATTATTGTTTTCAAATGTTGCTAAGTACGCCCGTTGGCACATTTATTCACCTTTCAACTATGTATAGTAAAAGGGTGGGGTAGGGATTTTGGGACTCAAGAAAACGAACGGATTAATAACGCAAATTATACCTCTCCCCTACACGTTACATACAGTTTCCACTGCTTTTGATGAAAATAGATGAAAAAGAATGTGAGGAGGGCGATTCGTCCCACTTGGTGCGCTCCCTCTGACGGTTTCTCTCCCTTTGACTGTTGCAGACACGGCGAGCTCCGAGGAGTGCTTAGCCATGATCCGGAAGTCCCTCAAGTCTCCGATGATGAACGGCGGCACTCACTTCGAGGGCTCCATCCCGCACATCTTCGTCACCTTGGGCGCTTCGGTAAGTGTGATATGCCAAACGAAAGAAAATGGCAGGGATCTCTACAGTGTTAATTTAATCGAAACGACTGTCCGAGTAGTGCCGTAATTTCCATCAGGGCAACGGAAGCGGTGACCCGGGGTTCCGATCTTAGTGACCCCTATCCCCACGGTGAAGACGAAAATATTTTTTTACATTTACACCTTACCGCCCAATTTGGTCTCAAAGAGAAAGTATTGTAGGGCTGCGGCAAAATTCACCATTTTTCGAAAGAAAAACTCGTATTGTGGTATCAAAAATTGTTTCTACGGGTACTAAATTACTTCGTCTAGCGCGTGTAGTCAGAATCCACGTGTGCCCTTGATACCGACAAGTTGATTGACGGCAAAACATATATGTGTGGCCAACGCAAGCGTCTAAACCATTCGATTTTCTCCAAAATTAATATTCCCTGATTTATCTAGAATGAACTGGAGGTCCTACGAATTTGAAATTGATATTTTAATTTTTCGGGTACTTTACATGAAGCTTCGACAACATTCAACGTTCGACAACGTGTCGAAGCTTCGACAACGTTCCAATTTTTTATTAAACTTTTCCCTCAGATAGAGTAAAGGACGCTTAAAAGAATGATATAGTTCTCATTGTTGTTAAAATCCCTGATCTTTTTTTTATTTCCAAAAGTTCAAAATATTTTTCGGTGTTTTTGTACCACTTTAATATTGAAGATAGAGATTTTTCTTAATGAAATCTGTTTTTAAAGACACATCCTGAAATAACGTCAAGTACAATTTTTCGAAAACATTAGTACTTTTCTCGTAAATTTTGCGTGAATTATAGGCAATTTTTAAACAATTATTTTCTCAGAAACTGCTCCATGTTGTAAAATTTTCTCCTGTGTAAATAAAAGGACGATAAATAATAATAATATAAATTGGCGCTACTTCCATTTCCGGCTAACTCTTGATGTTTTCGAAAAATAGCGAAGATAACATTCCAAAACTGCAAATTTGAAGAGAGCGATTAAGTCAAATCTATTTTTCAAAAATCAGATTTTAAAAATAATTCACGTACAATATTGTGCACAATTTGTGCTTGAAGTTAATGCAAATTGTAAAAAACTCTACCTCAAAAACTGCTCAATGTTTAAATTTTTTCCTCGGAAAGGGGGTACCGTTTTCAGCAAACGATCTGTATTATTGAAAATTGCGAAAGAATAACATTACCAAATTACAACATTGATGAAAGAGATTTTTTTCCTTAATGAAATATTTTCTTTAAAACTAATCTTGAAACGCCTAAACTGTACACAAAATTTTCACCAAAATCGATATTCCCCGATCTCTCGAATTGCAAGCGGAGATTATAATTATTGGGAGAAATGTACACAAAGCCATGATATTTTCAAAATTACCTAAAAGATGGCTTCATATTTGCTCATTACTAGATTGCATATTCAGTTCCTTTGATTGATAAAATGCAAGTACGAGTGTGTGTGTGTGTGAATATAAATAAATATATAAATAAGGTACTAATGTCTGTGTTCTAGGGTGATTTGGCCAAGAAAAAGATTTACCCAACATTGTGGTGGCTGTTTCGAGATAATCTTTTGCCAAGTAATACAACCTTTTTTGGCTATGCCCGTTCTTCATTAACAGTAGCGGAACTGAGAGAGAAATGTCATCCTTACATGAAGGTAACAATTGGTTACTAATACCAAAACGCCTTGATCAATAAATTATTTTCAGACGTATTATAACTCTTCTGCATTTATGTTCTTAAAGAGGATTCGAAATTGTATACATGCTATCATTTTTTGAGTTATTTAAATGCATTAAACGTAAATAAATTGTAGAAGATACTATGTATTTAATACTAAATTCTTTTTGTATTGCAATATTAGTGAATTTGTCACCACTAAAAGAAACTGTATTAATATTAATCATGAAATATAATTTCAGTAGTTTATTGGCGAAACAAAACACGAATATACAAAACACATACAAATAAATCTTTGTTCGTTCCTAGGTAAAACCTTCCGATGAAGCCCGATATGAAGAGTTTTGGAAATTGAATTACTACGTGTCTGGAAGTTATGATGGACGACGCAGTTTTGAACTTCTAAATCAGGAACTTTGCGCACATGAAGTGGCATCAGTGGCCAATCGCCTATTCTACCTTGCATTGCCTCCTTCAGTTTTTGAACAAGTCACTGTACATATTCGCAATGTGTGTATGGCTGAGAAGTAAGTTTTATTCATAGATATATTTTTTTAGTTTTTCAGAGAGCTATGTTTAGGATATTCTGTATGGTAGTTATTTTGAATATACCTTGAAATACGGAAAGAGTAATTTTATGTTTTATGTCATTTTACTGGGAAAATCATCGGTTCTGCCAGCAACGATTTCTTTTCTATAAAGTCCAGACGTCTTTGCTTCTGATGAGTCGAAATACTGAGGATATTTCAAAGTAGTATTGCAATAGAAAAAATTCTTTTTGGGGTGAGGGTAGAATTGAAGAAAACGCAAATTTGTGAGTTGTCGGAACTGGAATGCAAAATACAACAGCTTTGTATCGTGCACGTCCCTGAGATCGCGCCCAATTTTAGGCCGTCAGAACCTTAGCCCTCCGATTGACAGTAAGAATAATTCTTACAGTCGGTTGGCGGACTGAGGTAAGAATAATTCTTACTGTCGGTTGGCGGGCTGAGGGTCTGGTGGCCTAAAAACGGGCGCGATCTGCAACTATTGCAGTCCGCGTTCACAGATGATGCTAATGGCCTCCCGATCCTACAACAGCTCTTTAAGTCTTCGAAATGCACATAAAGTTAAGGTGATATACAGGCATTTAAACATTAAAAAAAGACACTTTGTGTCGGAATCTAAGGTTATGAGGCTAAAATAGAAAAAAGTATTAAAGATTGCTAATATTATAAGAAACGTAGTGTTTTTCCACCTGAAATGATTTATTTTATATATTCACTTTTGTTAGATTACACACACATAAAATAAAGTATTGGATATTACTATGGAGCACAAATGTATGGTTTTCAAATGTTTCGAACCACGCTTTCTTTGTTGGTACCATGAAAACGGTAAGGAGGCTCGACTCCAGCGTTGGAGTATGGTGGGGTTATGTAAGAAACGTGGACAGCTATTCGGACACACTTAGCTTGAGCGACATCCAGCTGTGAATGAAAGAACTTCATCTGGTTCTTTTTTATTTTTTGACAGTACCTACGCGCGTACATGTACTTGACCAACTCCATGTACACTTTCGTGCGTGGAAGTGTAGATGACGTTGACTTGACAAATGAGCTTGGTGGCCGTTTGCCAAAAGTACCTTATAAGGTTCTCCCATTGACCTCGTGATATCGCAGAAGCCGTGTTGGACACGAAGGTATTAGGTGCCGAAGCTTGTCATAAATGCCCTCCCCCCTCACCACCAGAATTGAATCTCCTCCTTACATATTTCATGGTGGGTATTTTATTCATCGTTCAACTGCATATATAGTAAAAATGTGGTGTAGGGATTCGGAAGCCCAAAACGTGCGCTAATTATAATTATCCTCCGTGCCTTACATTCATTTTTACTGTATTCTTGATGAAATAAATCAAATATCATTTCGTCTCTCCTATTAAAATAGGATACACACACAGGTGTTTCTTGCTGAACTAGCCCAAACTTTTCACTGCATAGTTCGCATATGCATTAATACACTTGTACTAAAATTTCTTCCAAAGTGTGGTCGAAAGTGTTAGCAAAAAATACTATAGTGAACACCTAAAATACTATTTGTGGAGGGCAAGCAGCAAGTATTGCTTGGTTGCTCGCGGTCGTTCTTTCATGCGAAGGCCAGGCGAGAAAACAAGCGATGATTTCATTCGCATGCTGATCCTTCTCCCACAGCACTACGGACTTCGCTTTCATTTATTACTTCATCGCCCATCAGAAATACAAAAGAAAGAAAGGGACAAAATGTAGCTGTTTTTTAATTTGCAGTAAAAATCTATTTCTAAGGTATCTCTTCTCTGCGTGGGTGGGGTAGTTGTATTACATGTGAAAGGTCCCCTCAAAAGTATTTTGTGTGTTGTAAACATTTTTTCGTATGATGTTTTTTACAGGTAACTCAGTGTTTCAGGTTAAATGTTTTGTGGTCATTTTTGATAAAATTTGTGAAGCGAAATGTTCCAAATTTGTGCTTATTTTGGGAAATGAAGATACCATTTTTTGTGTATTTATTTTTTTAAATTATTTGCAAGTTATCTCAACATCTCCCATGAAAATAAAAAAAAACGTACGTTCGTGATGAGACTTCGTCCCCGTAAAAATCATTTGTTTGTGATTTCATACAAAACTATAAATAATTTAGTTATATTCTCCATTTTGAATGAATATTTTTTCTAAGAATTTTTAGCGGGCACTGAAAATTATAATTTCTAAGATTTTAAAAGTATCTTTCAATCTGTTCTTGTGATGCATCGCTAATTGTTTACTTTCGATAATTATATCTCCACCAAAATTTTTTGTTTAATGTAATGTGTTAGACATTTCCAAATAGAGCAGAACGTCTAAAATCCTGATTAATTGGGACACCTTCCTGCATATCGAACTGTCCGGATTTTGGAAATTGACCAATAAAAGGCCGGTGGACGTATTTTAACGTATAAAAACTTTCTAAAATATTTCATAATACACTCTGATGGTTGCATAAATGAAGCGAATGAATAAAACCATTTGGGTAGAATTTCTTTTTTTTTCTTTTTTTTTTCTTT